ATGTCAATAATTACATTAAAGGTAAATTGGTCTATACTGGGGTTGCCAAACTACGGTCCCCAAGCCCCAAGCCAAATCCAGCCTGCCGTCTATTTCTGTACAGACTACAGGCTAAGAATGGTTTTCACATTTGTAAATGGTTAAAAAAACAGCAAAAGAAGAATATTTCATGACACATGGCTTATATAAAATTCAAATTTCAATGTTAGTATCCATAAATAAAGTTTTATGGGAACATAGCTATACTGATTCATTTACATATTATATCTACAGCTGCTCTCATACTACAATGGCAGAGTTGAGTAGTTGTCACAAAGACCATATGGCCATCAAAGTCAAAAATATTTACTGTGAATTTTGGGGGGACATTAAAAAATATTTACTTAGAAGAGAAGAATTGTAATGTTCCCAACACAAAGAAGAGATACATGTTTGAGGTGATGGATATCCCAATTACCCTGATCATTACCCATTGTATATAGGTATCAAAATATCACATGTATCCCCCAAATACGTACAACTACTATATACCAATAAAAAATTTTTAAAATATCTACTATCTAGCACAATAGAGAAAAAGTTGCCAACCCCTGCTTCAAGGCCTAAGTATATTATGTTTGTAAGAAACAAAATGTAAAAACACTTAAGCATCAGAAAGCTGGATTGCCTACATTAATATCAAATAAAGTTAACTTCAGAACAAGAAACATTACCAGGAATAAGGAGGGACATTATATAACGACAAAGGGGTCAATTCATCAAGAGGACATTAACAATTCTAAACTTTTATGCACCTAATTACAGAGCTTCAAAATTCATGAAGCAAAAACTGATAGAACTGAAAGAGAAACAGACACAATTTCTCCACAATTACAGGCTGAGATTTCAAAACTCCCCTCTCAATAATTGATAGGACAAGCAGACAGGAAATCAGTAAGGCTACAGAAGACTTGAGTAACACTATCAACCTACTGGCTCTAATTGACACTTTGGAACACTGCATCCACCAACAGCCGAATAAATATTCAACCCAAGTACACACAGAACATTTACCAGGATAGACCATATGCTGAGCCATAAAGCAAGTCTCAATAAATTTAAAAGGATTAAAGTCCTACAGAGAATGTTCTCTGACCACAATGGAACTAAATTAGAAATCAATAATAGAAAGATCTCTGGAAAAGCCCCCAATCACTGCCTAGCTGTGTGACCTTGGACTTGTGCTTCAATATCCTCACCTGTCAAGTGAATACAATTGTAGGCCCTTCCTCACAGCGTTTTGTAATGAGTAAGTGAGTTAATCTGGCACACAGCAGGTGTTATGGAAGTATTCACTCTCATTGTGTTGGTGACACAAGATTGACTGGAAAGAAGAGGCACCCACCGGCCCGGCTATGGGACCCCAGGGCAGCCACTTGCCTTACCCTGGCTCTCTCCGTCCTCCCTCTGGGCAAGTAAGAGTGGACAGGCTCCCTGCAGACCATACAGATCTGTGGGGTCTGAAGACAGAGGAGATGCTCAGAAGGCCTCCCAGAAACCCCATGTCTGTGTCCCCAGCAGATGATAATGAAAACAGCAGCTGTCATCCGCTGAGCACCTGTGCAAAGCATTGTGCTAGGCACTGGGGTGAGGGGTGGACTGGAGGCTTGATAGAGGGATGAA